AGCTGAGCAGCCCATCATTTTCTGCACTTCTTTATATGTTTTCCCCCTGTCCAATCAACTTTTTAATCAAGGTACGCTGTTCTTCTGAACAATGTCTGGAACGACCCATTTTCCTCAGAATTTCAGAGAGAAACGCACTGTAACCAGCATGTAAAACATTTGCTTCCTTCCTTAAATAAGGGCAATAATTGCCACCTGTTTTTCAAATAATGAATGGCCTCACTAATAGAACTCCACACTGCTATTATTTTGAACATGCCCCTTTCAATTAGTGATTCAATTACACAGAATCAGCAGCATGCAAGTCATGATTGTTGGGTCTGTTAAATTTCTATTACTCTACTACACCTGCTAGTAAATTATTTGCCATGTAGAAATATAATTTCTACCAAAAACAGTGATTGATCAGGTTAGTGATGTCTGACTGCTATTATTTTGAACACAACTGTACATACAGTTTTAAAGCCCACTTCCCAGGGCTGAAGTCTTGGAAATGGGCATTGCTCGCAGAAACAATTTACATGACATAAGTATATACTGTATATTACCATTACCCTGTTCCTGTGTGCATATACCTCTGGACTTCCTGTTACCAACCCAGCTCGCTTCTGGATTTACCTTTGTTTCTCTCCTGGTTCTGATCTTAGTTTGCTCTTGACTATGCTCCTGATCTCTCCTCTGTTGACTACTGGTTTTCGGCCCCTGACACCTGCTCCTGATCTCATCTCTTGTCTTTCCCTGCGTGCTGTGATTTGCCTGCTATTACCTGCCTGCTTGTGACCTGCCTGCTTGTGACCTGCCTGCTGTGATCTGCCTGCTTCTACTCTCCTGTTGTGCACTGCATGCATGATCCAGAATCTTTTCCAGGCCCAGCTTGCCTCCTCATTTGGTTCCCATCCACAGAGGTCTCACTGCTACAGCACTCCCTACCTTCATTACAGCTGGCAATCCCTGCTTCTTTGGGCTCAGCATCCTCTGTTACTATCCTGAGAGGTGTTAAACTGTTACTAAACCCAGGACCCTGCATTCGCTATATCTGATCTCCCACAGTACACACACCATGGAAATGCAATTATTTTAGTAAATATAAACTGCTAAATATCTTTTCTCATCAGCAGTTAGAGCAGTCTTGTAACTTCAGCAGAGCACTGGTTAAAGCTTGTAGGAGGAATTTTCTTTCTGCTATAGGAGGATGTGAAACCTCTGACCCTCTGTCTGGACAGTGCTGATTGGCCCTGTGTTGATCACATGCACCCTCCCAAGAAAAACCTCTCTAGCAATACACACCAAACTGAGCAGGTGCATGTGATCACAGGTTCAGTCTGTCTCAGGTGGTCATTTCAACAAGAGGAGGGGCAGAGAAGAAAGGATCAAACAGCTTTTTTTTTTTACACAATTCAGAGGATTAACCCCTTAGGTTCCACAGTGAGTATAACAAGCATGCTTTACTGCATATACAGACTGATTTTACTCATTTGGGTTTAGTAACACTTTAAGCCCCTTATCATTTCAGCCTCAAAACCAAGTACGTGACAGCTGCACTGAGCATCTCTATATATAGAGAAACAAACTTGAAATTATAGAAGGGGAAGGGATACAAGTCCACAGTAGAGCAGGCAATGCCTATAGGGGAGCACAGAAGCTAGCAGCACATGTGAGTAGAAGCACTGGTCTAGCAAAACCAATGAAAATGAAAGAATTTCACAAGCATACATAACTTTCTAGTCAAAAAAATAAGCAGCACCAAACCCAACCAAATTGTGAACAAAAATTAAAAATATATATAAAACTAATATAGGCGCTCACCAAAATAGTGCAATCTTGATAACACAGGTCTGCAAAAAAATTTTTTTCAAGAGCTGTTTTGGTTATTCCACATAATCTTTGTTTTTTTGGTGCGCTGAATCTGAAAATTACCTCAATTTTGTCATAGGACATCATGTTTCCTGACAATTTAGGTAACTATGTTAAATAAGGCAATACCTCAAAATAAATGGAAATAGACTTATAAAATTAAACTTTTATTACATTTTTTTCATTAAAATCCTTTTTTGAACTGAAATGAGCTCACCTACACACACTAAACTCGATTCTTCCTCCCTGTGAGGCTCCTCTTGGTGCATTTACGCTTGTGAGTAGCATCGGGAATGTCTCTCTGAAGCATCCAACAGTAGTCTGCCATCATTGTAATGCTCCATTTTCCCTGGTATCTCCTTTCCATCTCTTTAATGTCTTGGTGGAATCATTCACCTTGTTCCTCACTCACAGCTCCCAAATTTTCAGGAAAGTAGTCAAGGTGGGACTGGAGGAAATGCACTTTCAAACTCATCAGGCAACCTAAAGCTTGAAATGCTTTCAGCATTCGTCCGACAATCTTTTTGTAGTGAGGATCTTTGTTATTGCCTAAAAATTTCTGTACGACTTCTTTAAATGCAATCCACCCTTCTTTTTGAGGATCCGTCATGGTATTGACAAACTCTTGATCAACTATAAGTCTTCTAATGTCTGGTCCGACGAACACACCTTCCTTCAATTTTGCCTCCGACAGGCCTGGAAACTTGGTGACCAAGTATTTGAAGCATTCTCCATCTCTTGGAAGTGATTTTACGAATTGCTTCATCAATCCCAATTTTATGTGGAGAGGTGGTAGAAGAACTTTATGGGAAGGTACCAAAGTTTCTCGGAGGACATTTTTTTCACCGACTGTTAGCACCCTCGGCTGCCAACTCTTCTTGGTCCAGTGATTTTGTTGGTCTCGACTGTCCCATAGACACAGAAAACAAGGGTATTTGGTATCCCACCTACTGAATTCTTCAGGATAGATTAAACCCTTCTACCATTATAAGCACAGACTCAGGGCTGAGGCTTACACATACAGCATGCTGCTGAGTATCCCAGTAGTCAGACATGTCACTCAGAGCAACACTTGTATTCACCTCATTTGCAGGGGGGGGGGGCAGAGATTGTTTACCTGCAAATAACAACAAAGGGCCAGAAGAGAACTAGGGAAATAGACTTTTTTTTCCCCTAAAACTTGCTTAGCTTATGTATATATTGCTGGCCATCAGATTTACAGTGCTATTTTTTTTTTACATAACTCTAACAACCCCTTTAAGTTTTTTTTTGGCATTTTATATCTTAAATTCACTTATGAGAATTAATTAATAGTAATTTGGACCTTAAATTTGGTTAAAAACCCATAATATAAAAAAAATACCAAAAATTTTAAAAACTTGATAAATTTGAAGACAATTTTGCATTCTGTGGCAAATCATGACGTCTAGGAGTTTTTTCAATATTTAATTTGTTTTCAGCACACCAAAATACTGTACATGGAAATTAGATGAAAATAATCAAACAGTTTTTTAGTCGCAGACCTGTGTAATAGTACAAAATAAATATGAATCAACATAAATATAAAAATACTGTGTCACAAAAAGCGTGAAAACCAAAAAAACAAAAAGTCATTCTAATGTGACAGGCCAACTGGTTTCTAATTCTTTCAACTCCAAATTGTGTTCCACCACCACGTATGACTGAAATGGGAACTCACCAGATCAACTTGGCCAACAAAGTACAGTAGCTATCAAGCGTCTAAACACAGATCCTGTATGCCTTAGGTATGATGCACAGTCCTGCAGAATCCTTCAACCTCCTCAAATCACATGATATTATCCACCTTCTCCATTCTCAGTGTCTCGGAAAAAGGCCAATCATAGTGCAGTAAATTCTGTATTTAAAATATGTAAAAAAAATGTATATATTATACCCACATATTGTAGGTGCCAGCAGGGAGCACCAACCAAAACAGCTCACTAGGGGGATCTGTCCCTTCACACCGCCACTCAGCAGAGTCTCAAGAGCATGGAGGAGATTCCAGGAGACAGACAGTTACTCCAGGAGACAGGCAGTTACTCTAGGAGAGCTGGACAGGGTCATAGAAGGACCTTAACCCATCAGCAAGAATGGTATCTGCTCCTTTGTGCAAGGAGGAACAGGAGGAGCAATGGCAGAGCCCTACAAAATTACCTCCAGCAGGCTACTGTTGTGAATATCTCTGGCCAAACAATCAGAAACATACTTCATGAGGATGGCCTGAGGGCCCAATGTCTTCTAGTGTGGCCCTGTGCTCACTGCCCGGCACCATAGAGCTCGATTGGCATATGCCACTGGACACCAGAATTGGCAGGTCCACCACAGGCGCCCTGTGCTTTTCTCAGATGAGAGCAGGTTCACCCTGAGCAGATGTGACAGACGTGAAAGGGTCTGGAGAAGCCATGGAAAATGTTATGCTGCCTGTAACATCGTTCAGCATGACCATTTTGGTGGCGGGTCAGTAATGTTCTGGGGAAGCATATCCATGGAGGGATGCACAGACCTCTACAGGCTAGACAATGGCACCCTGACTGCCATTAGGATGAAATCCTTGGACCCAGTGTCAGACCCTTCCTTGGTGCAGTGAATAGTGGGTTGCTCCTAGAGCACGACAATGCCTGGCCTCATGTGGTGAGAGGATGAAGGAATTGATACCATTGAATGACCCCCACGCTCACCTGGCCTAAATCCAATAGAATACCTCTGGAAAATCAAGTTTTGGTCCATCCAACACCTCCAAGTTACACCTCAGACTGTCCAGGAGCTCAGTGATGCTCTGGTCCAGATCTGGGAGGAAATACCCCAGGACACATCTGTTGTCTCATTAAAAGCATGCCATTTTGAGTTGCTGCAATGAAATTTCCTTTAATTTAATTTTTTGAGCAGTGGATATAAATATATATAAATATTTCTACAAAGATTACAAGTAGAAATGTGGCAATGTTTTGGTTAGAACAGTCACTTTATTAGGGTGGAAGACACCAAAGTATTATTAACCACCTTTCCGCCGCCATATAGTACAATGACGGGCGCAAGGTGGTTCTCTCGTTCTGATAGGACGTCATATGACGTCCTTCCATTCTCACCGCACATGCGCGGCTCAGGGAGTGGCGGCGATCGCCGGTGTGCTGTGTCCCTCGGACACAGCGGATCACAGAAAGAGCCGAAGATATTGGCTCGGTCATGTGATCAGCTGTGTCCAATCACAGCTGATCACAATTAAAACACGGAAATGCCGGTTATCGGCATTTCTCTCCTCTCGAGCTGTCACGCTGACAGCTCGAGAGCAGAGGAGAGACGGTAATCGGCATACCGTGGAGGGGACATACACACTGATCATCAGGGCACTGATGATCAGTGTGCCCTGATGATCAGTGTGGCCGCAGAAGTGCCACCTGTCAGTGCCCATCAGTGCCACATCAATGCCACATATCAGTGCATACTAGTGCGCATCAATGCGACATATCAGTGTCCATCTGAGCTGCCTTTCAATGTCACCCATCAGTGCCAGTCAGTGCCACCTATCAATGCCAATCAGTGCCACCTATCAGTGCTGCCAATCAGTACCACCTATCAGTGTCAGTCAGTGTCGCCTATCAGTGTGCATAAGTGCCGCCTATCAGTGCCAGTCAGTGCCGCCTATCAGTGCCAGTCAGTGCTGCCTAACAGTGCCAGTCAGTGCTGCCTATCAGTGCCAGTCAGTGCTGCCTATCAGTGCCATATATTAGTGTCATGTATCAGTGCTGCCTTTCAGTGCCCATCAGTGATGCCTGTCAATGCCCATCAGTGCAACCTACCAGTGCCTCCTCATCAGTGCCCATCAGTGCCACCTATCAGTGTCCATCAGTGCAGCCTATCAGTGCCCATCACTGCAACCTCATTAGCGCACATCAGTGAAGGAGAAAAATCACTTATTTACAAAATTGTATAACAAAAACTAAGAAAAAACTTTTTTTTTTTCAAAATTTTCTTGGTTTTTGGTTTGTTTAAGAAAAAATAAAAATCCCAGAGGTGGTTAAATACCACCAAAAGAAAGCTCTATCTGTCTCCAAAAAATGATAAAAATTTCATATGGATACAGTGTTTCATGACCGCGCAATTGTCATTCAAAGTGTGACAGAGCTGAAAGCTGGAAATTGGCCAGGGCAGGAAGGGGGTATAAGTGCCCTGTAGGCTAGTGGTTAAGGCACAGATCGTGGTCTGGAATTTTGAATGCTTTATTGGTTTACAGTGGATAGAAAAAGTCTACACTCCCCTGTTAAAATGTCAGGTTCTGTGATGTAAAAAATGAGACAAAGATAAATCAATCAGAACTTTTTCCACCTTTAATGTGACCTATAAACTGACAACTCCATTGAAAAACACACTGAAATCTTTTAGGGGGGAGAAGTAAACATAAAAAAACTAAAATAATGTGGTTGCATAAGCGTGCACACCCTCTTATAACTGGGGATGTAGCTGTGTTAAGAATTAAGCAATCATATTCAAAATCATATTAAGTAGGAGTCAGTACACACCTGCCATCATTTAATGTGCCTCTGATTACCGAAATAAAGTTCAGCTGCTCCATGACATTTTCCTGACATTTTCTTAGTCGCATCCTACAGCAAAAGCCATGGTCCACAGAGAGCTTCCAAAGCATCAAAGGAATTAATACTGTTGAATGGCCCCCCACGCTTGTCTGACCTAAATCCAATAGAACACCTCTGGGATATCATGTTTTGGTCCATCCGACACTGCTAGGTTGCACCTCAGACTGTCCAGGAGCTCAGTGATGCCCTGGTCCAGATCTGGGAGGACATACCCCAGGACACCATCTGTCATCTCATTAGGAGCATGCCCTGATGTTGTCAGGCATGCAAAGAAGCACGCGGGGCCATACAAACTACTGAGTACCATTTTGAGTTGCTGCAATGAAATTTCAGCAAAATGGACTAGCCTGCTGCATCATTTTTTCACTTTGATTTTCGGGGTGTCTTTGAATTCAACCCTCTGTAGGATTATCATTTTCATTTCCATCAAACGATGGGGCATCCTTACGTTCCTAACACATTACCCAGTCCATATCAGTATAGATATCCAGCATGATATTTCTCCCCATTGAAATCTGATGTGTTTTCAAAGTGTTCCTTCCATTTTCTTGAGCAGTGTACAATCTAATTGTAACAATCATATACTAAGCTATCCACTATTTGTTTTTTATCCCTCTGTTTAAGCTACTTTGTTATTAAAAAAAAAAAATACGCCTCCATGCTTGCTGTCTAAAACCGTGTTGTAATGAACATACGCTTCAAGTGTTTCTTTAGGTATAAGAATCTAAAGCATTTGCCAAATTTCCATTCGAGGAAATGTGGACCTGTTGATCCTTGAAAAACTGATATGTTTAACATGCTTGAATGGAACATAGAAAATGTTGTTGTTAACAAACACTTGGCTATGTCTTTTCATATTGTTCCCATAAAATCCATGCTGAATGTATATAAATAAAATACTTTCATAGTATTGTATCACTGTGCACCATCATGCAATTAAAAAAACACTCAATCTCCTGCTTTGTCATGGCTTTTCTCTGCAATGCCCAAATCTCTTAGTTGCACACCATATCTTATACAGTCATTTTCAAACAAATAGTGAATATGTGTGATCCATTTTAATTAAAATGATTGTAAAGCTTTATGTTTTATTTTTTTTAAAATATCAAACAGGTTTATACTTACCTGTCCCGTACGATGAAATTGCATAGAGCACCGAACCTCCTCTTCTCGGATCCCCTGCTGGCGCTTCTGGCTCCTCACTTGGGGGGTGAGGGGGAGATACTTTATCCTAAACATTTTTTATGTTAATCATAAGGCACATCCAAAGCTCTCACAATAGGTGCTAATTAATAAATGAATATGTCCATTGAAGTAGCATTAAACAGGTGGTGGAAGATCTGCAGTCTGATTACCAGAACTGGACAGAGGTAAGAACCACAGGAATGACAACCCAAGAAAACCACAATCTGCAACTCCTGGTATGATGGATCTGAAAGGAATCTGTGATGCCTGAAAAACAAAGAACCAGGGAGCTGAATCAGTAATTGTAGCAATGATTTATTGAAACATCAATGTAGCAACTTACATGACAGTCTAAGGCAAACAGCTTCAGTATAGGAGGTGGATGTTCCAAAGCAAGAAGCGAGGACACGTGGAGCTAGATGGTGAAAGCCTGGTCTGCCAGACAAGACCTATTGCACCTGAAAACCGTGTGCATGTGAAACAAAACTCCTAGACCATCTGTGTTGATCCGAAGATGCCAGATGCCATGAGAGTGAGGACTGATGGACACGTTTTAGGGCCCCGCTCCTTTGTCAACATCATATCTTTGTTTTCTCTAAAATCCTAGAAGGTTCTCCACAATCTGGATATTGCACTGTATAGTGCTGTCAATGTAACATGCTTTTAGGATTTGGAAGTTAGAAAAGGAACTTGTGTAAAGGAGTAAGAGAGAACAGGTAGCAGCTTAGAAGTGTGGCGGTTCTCTTTCATAATTCAATGATCCAATGGCACAAGTAGGAATACAGCTGCAACATTTAATTATTCAACTTTGATTTAATATATTAGAATCATTTCACTACACAATAGTAATTTGGACTATATTATACCCCGTATTTAAAAAAAACTAGAGTGGGCCTAACATATTGGTGTTGAATGTATGCATGCAAGTAAATAAAACACTAAAGTTATTATTATTATTATACAGTATTTATAAAGCGCCAATAGTTCGCTCAGCACTGTACATTACAAAGGGGGACAGAACATGTGACAGAACAATACCAATACAATGCAAAACATGAGGGGATTGAGGGCCCTGCTCTTTCGAGCTTACAATCTAGGAGGGAGGGGATGGTGGCACAGGAGGAGATAGCTGTGGGGGATGGAGTGGTAGGAAGAGTGGAGGAGGTCGGTAAGTTAGCAGGGGGTGGGGTAGGCTTCCCTGAAGAGATGGGTTTTCAGGGTGCGCCTAAAGGAGAGGAGAGTAGGTGATAATCTGATGGGTTGGGGCAGGGAGTTCCAGAGGATGGGTGACACCCTGGAGAAGTCCTGGAGGCGGGCATGGGAGGAGGAGACCAGGGAACTAGCGAGAAGGAGGTCTTGTGAGGAGCGGAGTGTGCGTGTTGGGTGGTACTTGGATATTAGGTCAGTGATGTAGTTCGGGGCAGTATGGTGGACAGCTTTGTACGTCAGCGTTAGGATTTTGAATTTGATCCGTTGCGCAATCGGAAGCCAGTGGAGGGATTGGCAGAGGGGGGTGGCGGAGACGGAGTGGTGGGAAAGGTGAATGAGTCTGGCAGCCGTATTCAGGATGGACTGAAGCGGGGATAGCCAGCGACGAGGCAGGCCAGTGAGGAGGGAGGTGCAGTAGTCGAGTCGTGATATGATGAGGGAGTGGATGAGCTGTTTAGTGGTTTCTGGAGTTAGGAACGTGCGTATTTTGGTGATGTTGCGGAGGTGGAGTCTGCATGAGTTTGTTAAAGATTGGACTTGGGGCTGGAAGGATAGGTTGGAGTCCAGAATGACACCAAGTACTCTGGCCTACGGGGCGGGTTTGATGGTAGCGTTGTTCGATGTGATAGAGAAGTCAATGGGGGGTGGTGTCCGGGCTGGGGGGAAGACAAGAAACTCGGTTTTGGAGAGGTTCAGTTTAAGGAAGTGGAGCGACATCCAGTCTGATATGTTGCTCAGTAGGTGTGTGATTCGGGCGGAGACCGAGGGGGTGAGGTGGGGGGTTGAGAGATAGATTTGTGTGTCGCCGGCATAGAGGTGGTAGTTGAAGCCGTGAGAGTGTATGAGTTGGCCAAGGGAGGAGGTGTAGATGGAGAAGAGAAGGGGCCCCAGGACAGAGCCTTGAGGGACCCCAACAGAGAGGGGGAGTGAGAGGGAGGTGGTAGCATTATAGGTAACGCTGAAAGAGCGTTGTGACAGGTAGGATGAGAGCCAGGAGAGAGCAGAATCTCTGAGGCCAAGGGAGTGTAGTTTTTTTTTTGAGGAGGGGGGGTGGTCGACTGTGTCGAAGGCCGCAAAGTTCCGTGCACATGCCTTAAAAAAACTTTTACATGAGTTTTGTGGTTTGTCTGTACAAGAAGCTCAATGTTATACTATGTGTCCATGCACATGTCCATGCACATTAGGAGGCATATTTTAAGCAAACCTTTCTGGTTTACGTGTTTGATTTGGAGTTTATTGGCAGAAAAAAACACTGAATACTCCTAAATGTGCCTAAGCATTGTACAGAAATGTTCTATATAAGTGTTTTTTTGCCAAGGGACCTGGCATTTTTTAAGTCCAGTGTGCATGGAGCCTTGCAGAGATTTATTACTTCTTATAGAAATTGTGGCACTCTTTCTAACAATGCTTTCATCTGATTTTCTCCTCAGAAGGACAGCACCATATTTGTTCATGCTTCATCCAGGATCAGCCTGTACAGGTGTTCACATATATTTAAAGCTGAAGTTTAGTTAAAAAAAACATATTTTTTCTACAGCTATAGTTACAGTATATTAATTGAATTGAAATAAGCAATATTGTGGCGCCTGTGAAACCTAGTATAAGTATGTGCTAGAATAAAAAG